GAGGGAGGGAGAGAATTTGATTTACCTCTACCAAGAAAGTGCAGTACCAGTCCTTGAGCCAGCAGCATCTGACCAGTTCTCAGCGTACAGCCCCAGCCACAATCTGTTGTCAAAGCTGAACCTTCTATTTGAGGAAATTCTTCCCTATAGGTCAGCCATATCCTAGAAATGAAATCCTTACGAAATTCTTCCACATTTCCCGCAATTACATGATCTTCTATTGCACATACGGATCTTGCAGTTAACATCTTACTTTCATCTTAAAAACAAAACAAAACCATAAGCTATATAGTGTATGATAAGCAAAGAAATGTCAATAATGGTGATAACATTATTGTTCTAAGTTATGGGTTACATCCCAATCTTTCTGGTCCTTTTTTTTTCTCATTTAAAAGGAAGATAAGCCGGGTGTGGTGGCACATGCCTTTAATCCCAGCACTCCGGAGGCAGAGGCCGGCAGATCTGAGTTCGAGGCCAGTCTGGTCTCCATTAGCGAATCCAGGCCAGCAGTGGCTATAGGGAGACCTTGTCCCTCCCCCCGAAAAAAAGATTAATCTTATGCCTTCTGATCAAGTAAGAATGAATCTGACATGTTTGTACTCTGTAGGTAACTAACACAGGGTATTGTATAGTGCTGCTAATAATGAACATCTTGTATTCCATATACAATTCTTTGATGTATGGGTATGAGGAGAGAATAATATAAAATATCTTTTTATCTCATTTGGCTCAGGATATTCATATTAGAGCTCTTTAAAATGTGATTTGCAAATAACATGTCATGATTTGTCAATACGTAAAAATGTATATAATAATATAATCTAAAATTTAAAATAAAATGTGCAAAATTGTCGTTAATATTTACACTCAATTACACAGTCAAAACTAACAAGTAACAGAGTAAGAAGAATGTAAAATTCTGCTGGGCATGGTGGAGCATGCCTTTTAATCCCAGCACTTGGGAGGCAGAGGCAGGTGGATTTCTGTGAATTTGAGGCCAGCCTGATCTACATAGCGAGTTCCAGGCTAGCTGGGGTTACTGGGAGACCTGGCTCAAAAAAGACCAAAAATATAATAATAATAATAATAATAATAATAATAATAATGTAAAATTCTTAAAGCATAATTATCCTTTTATGTTCAAATGTAATTTTTTAGAATGTGTTTCAATGCACATATATCATTTGTAAAGGCCTTTACAGACCGATTGCATCTAACACAATTTTTTTTTTTTTTTGGTCTTTTTGAGACAGGGTCTCCCTGTAGACCCAGCTGACCTGGAACTTGCTATGCAGGCCAGGCTGGCCTCGAACTCACAGAGATTTGCCTGCCTCTGCCTCCCAAGTGCTGGGATTAAAGGCGTGCACCACTGCACCCGGCCCTTCTATCACAATTTTTAAGAAAAAAAAATTGTTTGCCCAATAATTTACAAAACATTATTCTCAAAATGAACTAACATTCCTTGATTATTCCCAGAGAAACCACCTAACTTTTACAACTGCAGCATCAAGGAATGCTTAACATAAACTGATCTATTAAGTATTGGTTTGGAGGGGTAGGCAGGTGGGGAAATAAATATATCTACCTACAATTCTCAACTCCAAGAAGTTCAATATCCAGTACCCATCTGAAGGATGCTAAAAGTAAAAGGATTTACAATGCACTCATTCTTCATACTTCTTCCACCCATCCCTTTCTTCAACCTCATTCTGAAAAAATTATATTCATACTAACTTTGTATATATTCAACAGATGATTATAAATAAGTGCCAAGCCTCTATTTACATGCCTCTCTTTGAATATTATATAGAATTTAAAGTCAGGTACAAATATATAAGTGCCTAGATATTAAACAGAGCACTATATGTGCCAGGCTTGGTGTCACCTGCCTTTAATCCCAGCAGATGCAGGTAGATCTCTGTGAGACCCAAGACAGCCTGGTCTCCATAGTGAGCTCCAGGCCAGCAGAGGATACAGGGAGACCCTGTTTTATCTCAAAAAGACAAAAACCAAAACAAACAACAACAAAACACCAGAGCACTATATTTCTAAACATTCTACTTTTGTCATTTAAATTTGATATAATAGCTCTTAATTCTCACACCTTATCCAGTAGCCTTCCAAACACAGAGCTCCTAATATACTCTAAAGAAGTAATTAATTTCTTAAGATCTAGTCTCCTCTAACTCTATGTACTATAGAGAAACTGCTCATACTAAATGAACTTTGTCCCAAGAACTTTAAAAAAAAAATGAGGATTTGATACAGATGTCCTATTCAGGGATAAGTACTCTGAAGTCTCATTTTCTGCACACAGGCCAGTTGTAGGTTTCTGTGTTACTTACTACCTGCTGCATAAGGAAACTGCTCTGGTGAGAACTGAGAGATGCACTACTCTATGGTTATAACATTAAGTTATATCATTTTAATATGATAGCTATTAAGTAGAAAACTAGTATTGGGCTCTCCCCTATGTCCTGTGACCTGTCTAGCCTCATGTTCTTAAGCTGATATGACTGCCAGGTATGGGCTCCATTATTTGAGGTGAACCTTAAATCCAATTAGAGAGTGGTTGACTACTCCCATAATATTTATATATTTGACTCCCATAATATTTGACTACTCCCTTAATATTTCACTGGTGGGTATATCTTGCCAGGCCAGTTATTGTAGTTCACAGGATTCAAGCTGGGTAAGGTTGATGAATATTTTTTCCTTCCAGTAGCCTGCATAGCACCTTCTAGTGCTATGAACACTAGCCAGTAGAGATGAGGCTCTAAAGTCAACACCAACTTAATTTCTCCTTGTTTGTTCTACAGCTCATGGATTCTGCCTCCCAAGGCTCAAGGATCATTGTGGAAGATGGGTGGAAAGACTGTAAGAGCCACAGGTAGTATTTGACCACAAGGAAACAGAGTTTTCCAGACAGCTGGTAGGTTAGTCATATGCATTCACAACAATGAGTGACAATGTGCAGAAGTCACAGGCAAGCTCAAACCAGATAAAATCCTAGCACAGACATGGAGAAGTAGGTAAGAAACCCCAACCCAACTTAAGGAAACTTTGGCAACCAATGCTACTGGGAGAGGGGGAAAGACCATCTCTTTCAAGAATGTGATTCTTGGTAGGTTAGTTAGGCTACAGTGGCTAGATCCACACTGAATGTCATTTGGGGACACAAATTAGGCTCTATAAGCCATATATATAATAAGTCCTATAGAGTCTAATATAGATTATGTGTATATATATATGTGTGTGTGTGTGTGTGTGCATATATAGATATATAAAGTTGAGTACATTAAATTGAGCAGGGGGCAAGAAGGGGAGGAGCAGATACAAGAGGGAATCTAAATACCATCAAATTATATTGTATGAAAATCCAAAAATTTAATCAAAAACATAAAAATAAAATTTTAAATACACACCCACACACAAAGAAAAATGAAGATAGGCTGGTGAGATGGGTCAGCAGTTAGGAGCTGGTACTGCTCTTTCAGAGGACCTGAGTTCAGTTCCCAGTACCCATACTGTAAGCTCACAATCACCTGTAACTCAGCTCCAGGGGATCTGACACCCTCTTCTGGCCTCTGCAGACACTGCACACATATGGTCCACTTACATACATGCAGGCAAAATATTTATACACATAAAAATAAATAAAAATTTAAAAAATAGATGGAGACTGAACAATACACTCTCAAATGACAAAAGAGTCATTCCATTGACTGGAAAGAGCTTTAAGAATTCCTATATTCTGGACTGGAAAGATGGCTCAGAAGATAAGAGCACTGGCTGTTCTTGCAGAGGACCTAGGTTCAGTTCCCAGCATGTACCTGGGAGCTAACAACCACCCCTAACTCCAGTTCCAGGAGATCCAACACATTCTTCTGGCCTCCGTGGGAACTACACAACATGGATGCACTTACATACTTGCAGGCAAAACACTCATATACAAAAAATAAACATAAAAATAAAATTTTAGAAAATAATTTCTAGAATCAAATGAAAAATGAACACACAATCTACCCGAACCTTTGGAATATGCTAAGGCCATTAAAGAGGAAAGGGGAAGGGGAATGAAGGAGAAAAAGAGGGCTAAGGGGGAAGAGTGCAGGCAAGAGAGGACAATGGACTATATATGCCATGAAGGTATATGAAACTATTTGGGAGAAGGAAGAGAACCAGCAACGGGGGTAGAGGAGGGAAGGGGGAAGGAAGGTATGAATGAAAGCTCTCAGAAAGAATCTGCACCTACAAAGCCTGATTGGCTGATTAGAACTTCAATGACTGTGGAGGGATTTGGAATGGTGCAGATCTAGAATCTAATTACAAACTATCTTAGATACCTTTTAGCCTCCTTAAACAGTCATTTACTATTCACTGTATGTATTTACTGTCTGTAACTTAGCTTCCTTGTGGTTATTAGGAGGATCTTTTGGAATGCCACAAAGTGACCACTTCCACTATTACCACATATTAAAGTTACCAGAGAATCCAATAAAGAACAAAAATACATCAGTCCAGGCATGGTACACATCTTTAATCTCAGCACTTGGGGGGCAGAAGTAGGCAGATCTCTGGAATGGAGGCCAACCTGGTCTACATAGCAAATTCCAGGTCAGCTGTGGCTAGAGGGAGACCCTGTTTCAAAAAAAAACTATATACAGGGGGAGAAAATGTCATGGCAAATAATGTAAGTTACCTATAGAAATACGAGAACTATTTAACATGATTAAATACATTAATGTAGCTTACCATGTTGAGTAACCCAAAATATGAGAAACTAACAAAAAATGACATGATCCTTATTCTCAAGGAGTTTACAAGAACCAAACCATATGGTAATACATTGTGTGATGTGTGATATACAAAATATAGGTGCTTAATATGTCAGAAGAATTTAATCTAGAGATAAAATAATACAAAGTCTAACAATGAAATTCTTCAAAGATTTTTAAATGCTTTACACACTTATCACTTACCTTCATATTTAAAATGATAACATTTTCCAAGCAATAACACAGGTGAATTTCTACTAAAATATGTCTTTGTTTTTAACACCCAACCTAAGAGAAGAAAGAAAAAGAGGTTTTACATTAAAATATTTCAAACTGAGTCTTGCAATATTTTTTTCTTATTTAACTTCAAGCTATAATGATCATTATGACTATGCATTTTTTTAAAGTTACAAAATCTTGCCTGCACATGGTACACAGACATAAATTCAGGCATACACACATGCACATAAAATAATAAATGAATCTTTTTAAAAGCTATAACATCTTTTGACAAAGAACCAAAATTAGAAGATATTTATGCAAATTTGAATAAATTTCAGTCTCTTAGCCACATTCTACCCACATAAAGAACATAAGAGAAAAAGTTATTTTAATTTGCTTTGACAGGCTATGGTGCTCTTATGGCACAAAACTGCCAAGGTAAAGATTCTACTTCTAGTCCCTTCACACTAACTTCTTTTCATCAAGAAAACAAATAACATCAATTTCTTGTATTTTCTTCCACCTCAGATATTTAAAAGGCATAAAATACTTGAAAATTCCTAGAAAGTAATTTAAGAAAAACACACAGAAGGCTAGAGCTCATGATAAAAGTAGACTCTAACTGCTGTCTGAATATGGTATGTATGGTATTCTTAAGACATCTTCATCTCAGTCTTCCAATTTCCTGTCCCTAAACCTCCAACTTCAGTAGCAAACTAATTCTTCAAGTTTTTTTCCTACTGAACTGCCAGCATGGAAACCGTAGTGATGTTTTTGACATTTCAGGATGGCATTAACCATTCTGAATCTCCTGAGAAAAGCACTTGCCTTCTATGTTGCTGAACACTTCCAATATATGAAATTCCTGACTGCTAATGGTAGACTTAAAAGTATCTCCCAAGCCAGGCATGGTGGCACACGCCTTTAATCCCAGCACTCAGGAGGCAAAGGCAGGCAGATCTCTGTGAGTTCAAGGCCAGTCTGGTCTACATAGTGAGTTCCAGGCCAGCTGGTGTTACAGGGAGACTGTCTCAAAAAGACCAAAAATAAAGGTATCCCCTTCTTGAGCCCAATACTATGATTCCGCTAAATGACATAGTATTAAATTGACTCCTAGTAACTTACTGTTATCCTCAGAGATTAATGCATCTCTCAACTCTCACCAGAGAAGTTTCCTTATACAGCAGTTACTATCTGTGTTGCTAACACAGAGAGCCACAATCAGTCAAGGTGCAGAAAACAAGAGGCTGCAGACTGCTTATCCCTGAATAGAACACCTGTATCAAACTTCTGCCTCCCAAAACTCCAGGATCATTGTAGAAGAGAGGATGGAAAGATTATAAGAGCCAGAGGTAATGAATGACCATAGGGAAACAGAGTTGTCCAGACAGCTGGTCAGTTACTTATATGAACTCACAGCAATGGTGACAGCAAGCACAAGTCCCATGTAAGCTCAAGACTGACAAAATCCCAGGATAGGTGTGGGAAAGTGGGTAAGAAACCCCAACCATACCTGAGGAACTATTGGCAACTGACAGCTGCTGGGAGAGAGGGAGTCAGTCTCTTTTAAGGGTAAGACTCTCAGTGGGCCCACACTGAACAGCATTAGGAGACACAAATTTGACTCTATAGGCCATATACACATATATTTTTTATATATGTATATATAATATAGAATACATGAAATATATAATAGACTACATGCAATTGAGTGGGGAGTAGTTAGGGAGTGCAGATAGGGATGGGGATCTAAATATGAAAAAATACATTGCATGAAATTCATAAAAATTCAATTAAAAATTATATCTTAAAAAAAGCATCTCCCAGGGCTGGAGAGATGGCTCAGCAATTAAGAACACTGACTGTTCTTGCAGAAGACCCGGGTTCAAAGCTAACAACTATCTGTAACTCCAGTTCCAGGGTACCCAGACAGCCTCTTCTGTCCTCCATGGGCATTGCATGACACGGGTGCACTTACCTACATACAGGCAATACACACATACACATAAAATAAAAATTTTAAAAAAAGTATCTCCCACTGGGCATGGTGGTGCAGGCCTTTAATTCCAGCAGAGGCAGAGGCAGAGGCAGGCAGATTTCTGTGAGTTCAGGCCAGCCTGGTCTACACAGTGAGCTCCATACCAGCTGAAGCTACAGGGAGACCCAGTCTCAAAAACACATTAAAAAAAAAAAGAAGTATCTCCCTTCTAGAGTCAGTCATGGTGGCTCATACCAGTAATCCCTACACTCAGGAGGTAGGAGGATCACAAGTTTGCATCCAACAAGCGCTACACAGATTCTGTCTCTAAAAACAAAATAAGGGGCGAGGGGGTATTTTCTAAAAACAAGAGCACATAGAGATAGAATTAAAGTCAACAGACTTGGGTCTAGTGTTAAAGTAGGCTATCTGCCTTTAACACGGTTGTCAGAAAAGTTTAAAACTGGTGATTTTTATAAAAATATTCCCTAGAGAACTTTATACAAATAAAGAAAAATATGCATTTAAAATAAAGATGATGTTGCCAGATATGGTTGGTACACTCCTTTAATTTCAGCACTCAGGGGACAGAGGCAGACAGATGCCTGTGAGTTCAAGGCCAGCCAGGGCTACATAGTAAGATCCTGCCTCAAAAACAAAATAAAAAAGATGATGCAACAAAGAGCCTATTGCTGAAGACACTATATACATGAATCATGGAACAAACAAGGTAAAATCAAGTTGATAAGAACATCAAAGCTTCATCTCTACTGGCTAACTTTCACAGTGCTGGAAGGTGCTATTCATGCTATCAGAAGAGAAAAGTAATCATCAGCCTTGCCCAGCTGTAAACACTGTGCGCTACAAGAACAACAGGCTTGGCAAGATCTGCCCACTGGTGCAACAGTGGCATAAATGTTATATGGGTAACCAACCACTTTCTGATTAGATTTAAGGTTTGCTTAACAAAATGGAGCCCATACCTGGCACTGATATCAAGCCTTGGAACATGGACAGATCACAGGGCACAGGAGAGAATCTACTATTATTATTCTGCTAAATGGCTATAGTAGTAAACCAACTCCTAATGACATTGTTATACCCATAAATTAGTACATCTCTCAACTCTCACCAGAGAAATTTCTTCTTGCAGCAGATGGTAATTAACAGCGAGACCTACAGCTGCAGAGAGAAAGAGGCTGAATGGAACACCTATATCAAACCCTCGCTTCCCAAGGCTCAGGGATCATTGCAGAGGGGGCAGAATGATTTTAAGAGCCAGAGGTAGTGGATGCCTAGAAGAAAACAGTTACTCATATGAATTCACAGCAATTGTGACATCATGCACAAGACAATCAACTAAAACAAATTCTCAGCATAGAGGTCGGGGAGGTGGGTAAAAAAGCCCAACTCTAACTGAGGAGTTGCTAGCAACTAATAGCTGCTGGGAGAGGGAAGAGTAGGTGATGGTGAAGAGGTTTACCAGGTTGCTGTGAATGAACCCTCACCAAAGGGCATTTGGGAGCACAAATTACACTTGATAGGTCTTAAAAAAAAAAAAAAAAAAGAGGACATGAAATCAAGCAGGAGGTAGTAAGATGGGATACAGATAGGGGAGGGAGTTTGAACATAATCAAAATACATTGTATAAAATTCTCAAAAATTCAATTAAAAAACTTTTTTTTAAAAAGAAGTGTCTTGCCGGGCATGGTGGCACACACCTTTAATCCCGGCACTCAGGAGGCAGAGGCAGGCAGATCTCTGTGAAATCGAGGCCACCCTGGTCTACACAGTGCCAGGCCAGCTGGGGCTACAGGGAGATCCTGTCTCAAAAAGACCAAAAAAAATAAATAAATTAAGAAAAGAAAAGAAAAAGAGAAGTGTCTTAATTTATGAGAAGACAGATTAGGAAGTCAGATACACTAATTAGGCTTTACTTAGATTACTGTAAGACATCAAAATAGTTTCCCTGCTAGTAGTCTTTCTCCATTCTCAGCAATGTCATCTATGTCACTGCCAAATTAAACTTCCTGTAGCTCAGCCTTGATTAGAAATTCTTCTGTTCAAAATATCCTGTCGGGCTACCAAGACGGCTCAGTGGTTAAAGGCGCCTACTGTCAAGCCTGATCTGAGTTCAGTCCCAGAACCCACATGGTGGAAGAAGAGAACCAACTCCAACAGTTGTCCTCTGACTTCCACATGCACACCATGGCATGTGCACACATACATAAATAAAAAAATAAAATAAAAACATTCTGTTATTCACTACATAATAGACTTACTATGAATTTCTCAACCACACACCAAAGACTATGCACAATTTAATACAAATTATACCCTATATCCCAACATCCTTCACTTCCACTCAAAGTGGGCTGCACTACTTGATTCATGCTATCACCTGACAAAAATGCTTCCCCAGTACAACGCATCTACATCTTGCTCCTTCTTTGGGCTCAAAATGGTCTTTGGGTTTGTTTTTTGTTTTTTGTTTTTCCAGCTAGATCTAGTTTTCTCCTAAATTCCAATGGGACAGTGGTGTTTATCTGTTGTATGCCAGGAGCTAGGCCAGGGTTTTACATACATTATCTTTTAAGAAATAGTAGTTCAATGGGGCTGGAGAGATGGCTCAGTGGTTAAGAGCACTGACTGCTCTTGCAGAGGACCCGGGTTCGATTCCCAGCATTTACTTGGCAGCTACAAACCATCCTTAACACCAGTTCCAGGGGAATCTGAAGCCCTCTTCTGACCTCCACGGCATTGCATGACACAGGTGCACTCACATACATGCAGGCAATACACTCATACACATAAAATAAAAATAATAAAAAATATTTAAAAAAGAAATAGTTCAAATCCCCAAAATAATAGCAACCCTCTCTCCCTAAATAGCAGCATATTTCCAAGCTCTCAGTGAAAATAAGCTCAAATAAAAAGAAACAACCTTCTCACTTTCTCCCTATGGTTTATTCTGAACCGACTTCTACCAACAACTCACCAATCCAATCCTCCCTCAAGAAAGGAAGAGCTGTCAGACGCCTGAGACAGTCAAAGCGTTCACATTTCACAAGAGCACAAGATGATAGCT